GGGAGGGGAGGGGAGGGGAGGGGAGGGGAGAAAGCATATAAAAAGCGTCTGCCAACATAGGGGCCAATGAGATGCCTCAGTGATAAAAGCACTTTCAGCAGAATTAGAAAAACCTGAGATTCCTCATTCCATCATTCCACCATGGAACGAGGAAAAAAATCAATCTCTCTCTCTCCCCCCCCCGTGTGTGTGTGTGTGTGTGTGTGTGTGTGTGTGTGTGTGTGTAGATGGATGGGTAGTAGAGTTGTACCTGGATAAACAGTAACCACGGTGTGTAGCGCCTGGGCCACCAGAGTGGAAAGAGGACAGGTCCCAAGGCTCTGGCCGAGGCAGGTACACCTTTAAAGGCAAAAGTATATCATGTCCAGTTTTTAAGTGTCAGAAAATAGGGCTAGCCCAGGCAAACGTCTGGACTTTAAGGCCTCTCTTCCCACTTCATGTCCAGGGTGAGTGTGGTCTATCCAGCTGAGACTGGGATCAGGTCTGCCTGTGATTCTTCTAAATTTCTTCTCCGAGACTTACAAAATGTTAGTAGGCAACAGCCTCATTCTGTCAGCAAGTCACAGCTCCACACAGCCTGTGAAGTTCCCTTAACCTTTTAGAGACCTGCACTCAGGTCAAACTGGGTCCTTGGCTTAGGTGCAGGAAAGAATTTCAGGACAAAGTAGGAGTTTATTAAAGATAAAACCACACACAAAAGAAAAGAATAAAGCTCTCAAAACAAAACATTGTAAAACTGATTTTATAAATGAATTACTCTCAAAAAAAAAAAGAATAAAGCACATCTGACCTGTGGGCTTCTCTAAAAAGAGTCTCAGTTAAATCTTAATGCCTCTATAGGATTGTAGGAGCTTTTGAAATTTCTTTGTCTGACAGGTTTCCAAGGGACCCTCCCCGACTCGGTCCCCATTCTCCTTCTATACATGAGATCAGGTGTGACTCTGGAAGGGCATGCAATCTGGTAAAGCCAGGAGCCACTAGGGTTTTGCAAGGGGTTCCTGGAAAGAGGCCCAGAAAACGTCAGGTTTACAGTTGGGAGAGGAGGACGGCCTGAAGCAGTGCTTGACTCTCGACAGAAAGAAGCTTTGGCCAGAACCTGGGCTTCCATGTTCCATCATTTTCCCTGTGTTTCTCTCATGCCTCAGTTCCACTGTGAACTACAAATAGGCTTGGGAGGCCTTGAACTCTAGGTGTTTAAGGAGCATATTCTGGCTTTTCACCCAAGGTTGAAGAATTTCATGGGTCCCGTGAGAGAGCATTTAGGTTCCAAAAGGGGGCTAACTAAACTACTCACTTTGCCTTTAAAGAGGCTACTTTGTGACTAATTTCAACTTTGGGTAAGTGATATATTAAGTATGCAAAAGTACCACAAACATGAAGATTGTCATCATAAATGCTTAAATACACATAGGTGAAGACTGTCGTCATAAATGCTTAAATGGGATCAAGGTAGTTTGTTTTGAAAAGAATGGGCCGACAGCTAGAAATGATAAAAAATTTAAAAAAAAAAAAACCCTGTTGGAAATGTACTGAGTTTACCACAGCGACAGCAAGGCAGACATGAAACTAAAGAGGTGGAGGAGTAGCCGCGCCTCTCCTTGAGGGAAGCAGGCTGTGTCCTGTCGGTGATAACTGCTGTGAATGACTGGAATGAAGGGCATGGCGACATTTTCAGTATCTCACTTCCCTGGCTGATTACACCTGCCTTGGTTAGCATCTTCCTTCCCATCTCCAGCCCTGGAGGGCAGACAGACTGCTGCTCACCTGTAGAAACCTTTCAACATCTTGGTTGTCAGGGCACTGAAGAAACCAACCCCAATATGTCCAGTGTCAAATCTACCCAAATATTCATCTTAACCTATAGGACACTAGCCACGCCTCAGAATGGTTTGTGGAGGAGGCTGGAAAAACAACTCCGTAATTTAAAAACTCTGGCTGCTCTTCAGAGGACCCAGGTTTGAGTCCCGGAACCAACATTACAGCTCACAACCTTCTGTAACTTCAGTTCCAGAGAATTAGGTGCCCTCTCCTGGTCTCCATGGGCACCAGGCAAAAGAACAGTGCACGCATACATGTGCAGGCAAAATAGTCATCCACATAAAGTCATATAACAAATTCTATGGAATTTGTGTTATAAAAAGAAAGGCAGGTGAATAAGTGTCATCTAGAGCAGGACTAAGTGTACAGACTTGGCTCCTGGTTCCTCAGTGGAACTAATTGGATCACTTTGGACCACTCATTCAACCTCTGCTGATGTTCAATCTTCTATTAAATAAAAATGAAAACATCACCTGAACTGTACAAAGGAGACAGTGCTATAACACCCTTAGTCCTCTTGGTCAACACTAGTTAATAGCGTGATGGTGATTAGGAGGGGGTTCTTATAGGTCCTAGAAAGCAAAGTTGAATTATTGAAGCCTGCCCTGCAAGCACAGCAGCAGCCATTTTGTTTAATGCCAGCCAGCTATTTCACACTGTTGCTATAGTATGCCTGCCAGTCATTGACACAGAAAAATAACCTGACTCAGACCAGGGTCATGCGGATCACATACCCTGTTATGTTCTGTGTGTTCTGAGGTTTGTTAATCTTAAGATATTCAACAACTGTAAGTTCCACTTAGGACCAAGAAGAATAAAGGTCAGTTAGAACTATTCTGTACAGCTAACCAAAATAGCTTGAGTCAGAGCCAACCACGGGGCAACACTTCCTGTACCTGCACATGAGTTTATTGTGTTTTTTCCTTTATAAGCTGGCCCTGAGAAATGTTCAGGGTCATAGCCTCGGCCCCAACTTCTAAACTATAGCTCTGCTTGATCAGTCTTGGGGTGTGCATTCAAATAATTCATCCCTGTCTGACTGAGATTGGTGTTCATGTAGTTTGTTGGGTGACTCCTGAACCTCAATGTAATTTAACAGTCATACATAGGGAGAGGAAAGTGTGATCCCAGAAAAAAAACCTAAAACTAAATATAAAGGTTGGTGTTATTCTATGACACGGAGTGGAGTGTGGTACAAGTGAATTAGAAATTTTAGGCACACTTCCTGTCTGGGCCCGAGCACAGAGCAGGTCACAGGCGGCAGCTCTGTACCCAACCCCAGAAAACCGAGAGAAAGAGGGACTCCCAGGAACTTGAACTCAGGCAGCATCCCAGGTAAAAATGAATCACCCGTGATGTCTGCTGTTTGAAGTTCTAATCCAGATGCTGGCCTCCGAACTTATACTACTCAGACCTTTGAAGGGCCACTGACAAAAACATCAAACAGCTAGAGATTGACATCACTAATCTGAAGAAATCCCTTGTTTCACTGTCTGAAGAGACCTCCTAAAATCACAAAGACCCTTATTGGACTTGATTGACTCTGTTACAATAGAAAAGGTTGTGTACAGCTCTTGACTGTGTACAGCCCTTAAAGAAGAAGGTTGCCTTTACATAGACAAGACAAGGAGCATGAAATAGGCAGTGAAGGCCCTAAGAAAAATCAGAGAGAGAAAGAGACAGATGAATGCTGGTACAAGAACTGGTTTTCAGCTTCTCCAAGGTTGTCAACCCTATTTCCTCCCATCTTGGGACCATTATTTGCGTTCTTTTTCCTTTTTTCTGCTGGTCCCTGGGCCTCAAATAGGTAGGCTAACTCTGTCTGGCTTTGGCTAGTTCAACTCAGCTGTTCTTGTTCAAATTCCTCTCCAAGCTGACTGGCTTCTCTCAGCTTCTCACTAAACTGCTCTACTTGGCCTCTATAACTCTGTCAATTGGTTCTAATCTTCTGTCTCCTTCTTATTCTGTGGGTTCAAATGTTTCTGCTGCCCTGCACTGAACTCACAAATGAACTCATCTCCGGCACTACACTCATTGCACCAACTCCCAACTCTGACTGACTCAACTTCACTGCACTGCACTCAATCGAATGAACAGAACACTGAGATCTGCATGGCCCTGTCTCCTGGGTGCTGGGATTAAAAACTGGGATTACATGAGTGTACAGCTGTGTGCCTGGACCTACACTTTTCTTTACCTGAAACATACTCTATACCAGCCTGGTCTTGAACTCAGGAGATCTGTTTGCCTCTGTATCCTGGGATTAAAGG